TGAAATCTCTAGTGCTCCTTCATCCTAAATTTTAGCGACATGAAACCTCTAAACTCCTTCATCCTAAATTACAGTGACATGAAACCTCTATACTCCTTCATCCTAAATTATAGTGACATGAAACCTCTATACTCCTTCATCCTAAATTATAGTGACATGAAACCTCTATACTCCTTCATCCTAATTTATAGTGACATGAAACCTCTATACTCCTTCATCTTAAATTATAGTGACATGAAACCTCTATACTCCTTCATCCTAAACTTTAGCGACATGAAACCTCTATACTCCTTCATTCTAATTTATAGTGACATGAAACCTCTATACTCCTTCACCCTAAATTATAGTGACATGAAACCTCTATACTCCTTCATTCTAAATTATAGCGACATGAAACCTCTATACTCCTTCATTCTAAATTTTAGTGACATGAAACCTCTATACTCCTTCATCTTAAATAATAGCGACATGAAACCTCTATACTCTTTCATTCTAAATTATAGCGACATTAAACCTCTATATTCCTTCATTCTAAATTTTAGTGACACGAAACCACTATACTCCTTGATTCTAAATTTTAGCGATATGAATCGCTAGTACTCTTTCATTCTAAATTAAGCAATATGAAATCTCAAGAACTCATGCATTCTAAACTTTAGCGATATGAAGTCTTTAGTATTCCTTCATTCCAAGTTTTATTGATATGAAATCTCTAGTACTTCTTCATCCTAAATTTTAGCGATATGAAATCTTAACACTTCTTCCTTATGCTAAAATCTCTAATATCACTTCTTCTAAATTTTAGCCATATGAAATCTCCAGTAATCATTCTAACTTTTTACAGGATGAAACCTCTAGTATAACTTCCTTCTAAATTGTAGATATACGAAATCTCTAGCAATCCATTCTAAATTTTATCGATGTGAAACCTCTAGTAGTACTACTTCATTGTAAATGTTAGCGACATAAAATCTGTAGTATTTCTTCCTTCTTAATTTTAGCGATATGAAATCTCTATATTCCTTCATTATAAATTGTAGCGATAAGAAATCTATAGTATTCCTTCATTTTAAATTTTAGTCATATGAAATCTGCAATAATTCTTCCTTGAGCTGAAATCTTTAGTTCTGCTTTATTCTAAATTTAGCGATATGAAATCTCTAGTAATTTTTCATCCTAAATTTTAGCAATATGAAATCTCCTAGTACCCCATTCTAACTTGTAGCAATATGAACTCTATAGCACTAATTCATTCTAAATTTTAGGGATATGAAATCTCCAGTAATCCATTCGAACTGCTAGCAATATGAAACCTCTAATATAACTTCATTCTAAATTGTAGCTATACGAAATATCTAGTGCCCGATTCTAAATTTTAGCGATATATCTCCAGTACTCCACCCTAACGTTTAGCGATACGAAATTTTTAGCACTCTTACCTTCTCAATTTTAGCTATATGAAATCTCAAGTAGTCGTTCATTCTCAATTATAGCGATATGAAATCTTTAGAACTCCTTCATTCTAAATTTTAGCGATATGAAATCTCTAGTACTCTTTCGTTCTAAATTTTAGCTATACGAAGTGATATGAAATCTCTAGTACTCCATTCTAATCTCTACCAATATGAAATCTATAGTACTACCTAATTATAAATTTCAGCAATATGAGATCTTAAAAATTCCATTCTAAAGTATAGCGATATAAAATCTCTAGTACTCCTTCCTTCTACATTTTAGCTATCTGAAATCACCAATACTCATTCCTTCTAACGTTTAGCGATACGAAATCTCTAACATTCCATTCATTCTAAATACTAGCGATATAAAATTGGTTCTAACTTTTATCGATATGAAATATCCGGTAACTCTTTCATTCTAAATTTAGCGAAAAGAAATCTCAAGTAATCATTCCTTCTAACTTTTAGCGATATGAAATATATAGTACTCCTTCGCTCTAAACTTTAGAGATATTAGGTCTCTAGTATTTCTTCATCCTAATAAAATCTTAAGTACTTCTTACTTGTGCTGCATCCGAAATTGTTTCAAAACTGGAGATGACTGAACAAAAATATATTTACCTGTCACTCTGTCTCAACCGTGGCGACTACGCCATAGACGTGAGGTGGTCTTGGTTGTGGACTATGCAATGGAGACAGATTTCGAAACATGATCTACCTATATATATATATATATATATATATATATATATATATATATATATATATATATATATATATATATATATATATATAAACGGTTGAACCAGTGTGTTATCCAGTGAAAGGACAATAACCAAGAACTGAACGTTGTAATTACACAATTATCAAGCCAAAATGGGGGAAATGTAATTATGTGGACGTGTGTTTTCATGATGAAATGACAATTTGTAAGTTGTCTTAGAATAACTAATCAATTTTATGTATTAATGTTCAATGACCTTTTTATTATATAAATCTTTTTTTTAAACTCTGAGCAACATATATTAGTATAATGAATCAAAAACACTGATCAACAGTAAATCCTCACATCGACAATGGATTTAGTAATTACTTATCAAACTTATAATTGCTGCATCGAAACCTATGGAACTCATAAACTTGGCATAATACACGTACTACATGTAATCAGGAAAAGATGGGCGAAGCAATTTCTATAAAATCAGTTGCAAGACCAGTTGGTCACCTGGCTGACATCCGTCTCGAGGCCAAATACAAAAATACAAGAGCGGTTCCAAAATAAATCTGGGTGAGCCTGAGGCTTTACGTACAATTTCTTCCAATTTCGTTAAGTGCATATATTATTAAAACATGTGCTCCAAGGTTTCTCTAGTTTTTGTGTTTTTCATCTGTTCGATTGCGCCTTATCAGCATTTGTCCAGTACTGAAAGAACTGCATTCAGTACTGTTATGTATCAGAGATGGACAACCTTTGTTTAGCGGTTCTTTTCATGCAGTGCACAAATGTTATTCTGTTTTCTTTGTTTATTTGGGGTTGGGTTTTTTAGGGTGGGGGTGGGGGAGGTATAAAAAATACTTTCTGTCAGATGTAGTCAAATTCCGTTAAGAGGAAAACTATACATAATCAACATTTCTATATTTAGTAACAGCGACCACAACTAATTGTATAATGGCATCAAATGTATAAAAAAATTAAAAGCCCATTTTTCTATGATACCTTTTGTCAAAGTTTAACATATTTAGTGAGCGTTTTTTGCTAAGAAGTCGTAATCTTGATTTTCTATTTTTAGTAACAGTGGCCATATTGGATGGTAACTAGGCATCATTTGTACAAGTTTTACAATTGTCTATAATATGATGCTCCCCGTCAAATTTTGGGAGGCTGAGAGAGTTGTGAACTTTATTATATACAAATCTAACACATACTAGGTAGGATGTCACATTTTAGCAACATATTGTCTTAAAGACCAGAACCTTAATCGTAACCCATATGAACAAAGAAAAATGGCGTTGCTACCTATGTATTTCAATGAATGGTTTATCCAGTAAATGACCATGGTGCAGGATAGCATGTGCAAGAACTTTTACACACTAGAACATAATAAAACCTTAAGTTGTCACCCATATATCGCCAATGCCACATAAACTGTGTAATAACCCGACTGACGTCATGACGATTCAGTGGCGTGCCATCACTAATGGCAACTCAGTCATGGAAAGCGAATGATTTCTCCGATTTAATTTAAGTAAAAGTTCCAGGAATTACATACAAAATTCAAAGAACAGGTACTCAAACAAACCTAACCAAGTCTCTTGAGGTTTATGACACAGAGGGAATGACAAGTTAGGTGATTGTGAAGTGCAGTTCTTGTCTCTGCCGGTGTGCCTTATCCAAATCTCTACCTTCGTGTTAACAGTAGTATATACAAAGTATAAAATTAGCGTATCCCTCTACCATTACACAAGAGAACTGCTACTGTGGGGTGTGTGTATGTGTGTGCGTGCGTATATATAAACAACCGTACTGTATGCTTATACATTCTCGATTGTACAAGCCGTACTGGGTGCTTTTCTGGACTGACTAGCTGATTCGAATGAACTGGTAATCAATAAAAGTAGTGATGATAGACCAAATGTAATATGCTCAGTGAAGAATGAACGTGCCATATATTGCCCTTATGCGAGCCCCAGTAATACACATTACGATATCCTACTATTTTATGACAATTCATTGGCCACTTCCATGCTAGAAGTAAGGAATACTGATTTTCAATGTTAACCTGTTCATTACATCTGTGTGAGGATACATACTAATAATGTAGATATTGAGATATCATTGTCTCTCTCTAATAATGCGTACAGTGAACTATCATTGTCTCTCTAACACTATCTAAAGGTCATAAAATGCAAATAATGCGTACAGTGAGATATCGTTATCTCGCTAGCACAGGGAAATGGGTCACAATATACTAATGTGTGTAGTGAGATATCGTTGTCTCGCTAGCACTGGGCAAAAGGGTCACAATGTACTAATAATGTGTATAGCAAGAGATCGTTATCTCGCTAGGATACGCAAAAGGTCACAATATGCTAATAACGTGTACAGTGAGATATCATTATCTCGCTAACACTACGTAAAAGGTCACAATATGAAAATAATGCGTACAGTGAGATATCGTTATCTCGCTAACAAATACGTAAAAGGTTACAATATGACTATTTATGGTATACAGTAATATTTTAGTTATTTGAATTTTACAACCATATCAAAAAGCTGATAATATCCCAAGGTGAAATCTCTTAATTTTGTTTTGGACAAATAGACACGTAAAAGAAAACAGAAGGTATTTTACAAGCGAATTTTACTAAGTTCTATTAATGTGACAGCAACGTGCGTTTTTTTTTGTTTTTGTTTTTTTGTTGGTTTTTTTGGTCTTGTATCCTTCCAACGGATAAAAAGTTTTATTTGCATGCATGACAACAGGTAGCAGACATTTAAACAGCTAAAATGCATAAAATAAAAAATGAGTGATTACGTTAACAGGCTAACCGCTCCGGTGGCCTAGTGGTAAGAGCGTTCGCCTCGGATACAGGAGGTCGTGTGTTCGATCCCCTGTCGAGTCATACCAAAGACTTACAAAAATGGTACTAACAGCTGCCTCGCTTGGCGCTCAGCATTAAGAGGTTAGTGTTAGGACTGGTTGGCTTGGTGTCAGGATAATGTGACTGGGTGGGACATCATGCCACATGTTTACAGCATGATGCCTCTGTGCTAGACATCACTATAAACGGCCACACTGCAGACATCGTAGCGATATGACTGAAAAATTGTTAAAGCTACGTTAAAAATCATAATCACATCACCTTAACAGACTTGAATACTGAAACAGATTGCGTACACTGGTTTCACGTGTGTGAGAGAGAGAGAGAGAGAGAGAGAGAGAGAGAGAGAGAGAGAGAGAGAGAGAGAGAGAGAGAGAGAGAGAGAGAGAGAGAGAGAGAGAGAGATTTAGGCAGCTTAGGGCCCCAAAGTCTGAACTCAATCTGAAGGGGCCCCTCAAATTTATATTATACCAAATATGGCCTATATAGCTACCCATCTCTTAGGGCCTCGCTTTATCTAAGTCCGGCACGTGTGTGTGTGTGTGTGTGTGTGTGTGTGTGTGTGTGTGTGTGTGTGTGTGTGTGTGTGTGTGTGTGTAAAGGCGCGTTAATTGCAACCACTAGTACACTATGCTTAGTGGAATACGGAATAGAGATTCGAGCTACAAACGGCGGATATGTGATTTTTATAACCTTTTTTAAGATCTTAAACACACACACACACACACACAAAAATCTGTCTTGGCAAAAAACATGCGTTGCAGCTTGTATGCAACAATTTTAACTTTGTAATGATATTTGTTTACGGTAGGGTTGGGCAAAATACGGCCCGCTGATTTTATCCCGTACACCATATGGCATAGCATTCAAAGTCTCTTCAGTCCCACGGAATGGAGGAAGTTGCCCATGCCGGGTAAACATCCCAGCGGGAAATTCGTGAATCGTCGTTCGCACTCACTGGTCAATTGAACCTTAGAGAGCTAAAACACATTAATACTAGTTTTACTGACAATGTCTAAAGTAATGTTTGTCAGCAATATGATGAAGTTGTCGGAGCTACAGGTACAGTGCCCCTGGATCCTAGTAGATAACTGTCACGTTGAAACGATCCTAACTTTAAATTGTCCCAACCAATTTTTTTCCTCATTATATTTAAGATTTGCAATGCTATGCAAATGATTATTCAGAGCTACCTCCACTGACAATTGGTAATTGAGTCTACGAGTACATCGCAGTCGGGGTACGGTGGCGACGTTCTATAAACACGAATGTAATTAACCTATCGGATTATGTCAATCAAATATCTGCCAATATATGTGGAACGCTGAGTGATAATATCGCTGGAAAACATGGGAAACATTACGAAATTATAGACATACTTAAACCTTGGGAGACATTCAAGTATTTTGTCTGGCATCGAGTTTGACGGCCACCATATATCATATCGGGGACTGTATTAAGGAGGAAATGGACATTCCAGAGAGACGTCTGATGTGGCGCGTGTTCTTAGGGAAATAAAGTTCCCAGGAAATCGGCTAAGCATTAAGACGAACGTCATATCAAATACGAACTTGCCCTTATTGAACATGCCCTATGGCTATACAATTAGCATAATAGTCACCTAGTGACGTAAGCTGTAACAGAGTTCTGTAGGAAAGCAGCAATTTATATGGTATACCTTTAGTTGTTTTTTTTTTTTAATTTAAGATGCGCTATTGAACTTTTATAATCCTTTCTGATATATATGTGTAATTTCAGAATCCATAGCATAGAAGATACTGTCAATGAGTAATATACCTCAACGAGGAGGCAGTGCCGTTTGAAGACATACGCACGCGAGGCACGTATCTAGGTCCCGCGGCGACCCAAAACAAAATTTCGGCGTCGGTTGTGGTAGCAGTTTAGTACTATATTAATAAATTGAACGACACACGTGCACATGAAAATGCAATGCAATACTGAGACTGAGAGATTGAGAGTAATTTTGGTTACTTATAAGTTTAGAGTTTGTGCCTAGAGCCCCCAAACTTTTTTAAACGGATCTGCGAGGAGGATACCTAAACTTGCTGCTCGTTTGTCAATCTAGATTTTCAAATTAAAATATCAACACTCAATATAAGTAAATGAAACAAAATATGGAGGTAAATATTGTAACAATGCATACTGCATTGTACTACGATTATACAAGTACAATTTTATTAAGTAATTTACAGGCAAATTGTGCAAAATTGTTTTCCAAAAGCCATGGTAGACTTTTCAATGCAAATGAAAATTCAATGCTTACTTCACACACTTCCCCAAAGGTGTCTAAAATGTCATAGTAAATTTAACCATCGTACGCTAACTTCTGTTTCCAAATTTAAAAAAAAAAGACTTATTTATTATGTTAATCATGAAATGCAGGAGTACTTTGGTTTACAAAATGTGTAATACGAGTCAGATTCTCTGGCCCTCTCAACAATCAAATTGAATGACAATACAGTGCCCCTTCAAACCTGATTTGCATAACAAACTGGAAGGGATGACATCTGGTGGGCCAGGTAAGGAGTTTCCAATCCCCTCCAGTATTACTCTTAGATCATATACTCATTCCGATGGTCGGAAATTCAATGCTAGTGGGCCATTTTAATCATAGGCATTTTATAGCACTTATTTTTACCTACTCATTCTAGTTGAGGTCTAGCGGTCACCCGCATAAAATATTTTTTTAAAAAAAGTCAGATTGTCTACATTCTGGTGAATTCCATATGGAAAAAAGACAACACTGCTGATATAATTTGTAACAATTCTTGCTTGTTTTCATGGATTTATTTGTAATTTTCTAGATCTATGCATTAACGCCTCCTAACATATACCATTATTAAAAGGTATACATGTATACTTGCATCCGTCCATTTTAATTTATGAGTTTCCTTTACAACATTCTTCAGAAGAAACAGAAGAGAAGTGACTGTTCCAAGATACAATTTTCCAAAATTGCAGGTGCATTTATTTGTATACAAAGCATGGCAAGAAACGTATTGTGTTCACAGTGGACTCCTTTTTAATGACCCCTCCCCCGCCCCCAACAGCCATATATTTCTTCCTTACTCCGTTGTTAATTCCTGGACTTCACTTTGATCTTATTAGATAAATGCGGAGCTCTAAGTTAGATGGCTTTCTCTAATATAAATGACAATTACCAAATGTATAAGTATCGAGCTTGCATTGTTAATTAATAGTTGAGCTGCCTAATTTGTTTCCATGTCTTATGTTTTCGTGTTATATACATGAATGAGCACACATGTATTGAATAAATAATATTCTTTGGAGTAGATTCTGTATTTTGTTGTTGTTGTTGGGCTTAACGCCATTTTCGGCACACGATAGGCTATTCATGGCAGCCAGTATTAATGGTGGAAGAAGAAACCGGGAAATCACCGGAAAGAACCACCGACCCCACGAGAAGCTACGGGCAAACTTTCTCACGTATCCACCTTCGCCGAATCCTAAATTCGAACTCACGCAGACAGAGGTGAGATGACAGTGATCCGTAACGAACAGCACTTTAGACCACTCGGGGCCCCTTCCTGTATTTTGTATTGTCCGAAAGTATATTATCGACATAAATACGATTGATTCTTTATTTGGTGTCCCGGTAGTACTTCTAAGCACAAGGTCTGCACATCGTTTCTTTTGCGAAAAAAGGACATATTTTGTCCTTTCCCGTGGTCAAATGGATAGAGCATCCGCTTCAGAATGCTGGAGGTCGCGGGTTCGAACCATGGCCAAATCATACCAAAGACAAAAATGGTACTAACAGCTGCCTCGCTAGGCGCTCAGCATGAAGAGGTTAGTGTTAGGTATGGAACGTCAGAGCTGTCTTAAGATGATAACTTTTATTATATGATGTACAAACTTCTTTATCTATGGTGCTTTTGTCCTTATATGATGTACTAACTTCTTTATATGCGGTGCTTTCGTCCGTATATGATGTGCAAACGTCTTTATATGCGGTGCTTTCTTCCGTACATGATGTGCAAACATCTTTATATGTGGTGCTTTTGTCCTTATATGTGCATACCTCTTAATATGATTGCTTTAGTACTTATATGATGTTCAAGCTTTTATATATGCGGTGCTTCTGTACCTATAGGATGGGACAAACTTCTTTATATGCAGTGATTTTGTCCTTAGATAATGGACTAACTTCTTTACAAGCGGTGCTTTCGTCCGTACATGATGTGCAAACTTCTTTATATGCGGTGCTTTTATTAGGTCTAGTAATCCTGGTGTCAAGATAATATGACTGGGTGAGACACCATGCTACATGTCTGTGGCATGATGCTCCAGTGCATGACTTCACTATAAACTGTCACACTGCAGACATCATGGCGATATGACTGAAACCTTTGTGAAAGCTACGTTAAAAATCCAAATCACACACACACACACACACACACACACACACACACACACACACACACACACAGAGTCCTTATTGTGGCAACTCTTGCAAGCGTTCAACACGCATGCATAATCACAAAAGCAAAATTTTATAATGAATTAATATACATTTCGGAAGTTATCAACCGTAATTAATGGAAATATATGCATCATTTAAATACAGAGGCAAAACAAAAGACAAAAAAAATCCCCCACCAAGTTTCACTAGTTACGTAGTTCACTATTATGCATATGCAAATTTCTCCACTAACGTCACAAGTTCGCCCATGCATATCATTCCATTTCCAAAAGTCGTTCAGCTGTTCATGTAGAAGTCGCGCGCATACTACTGATCAATTAAACAAATGTGTGTCCGTTCTTGAAATGTCTAACAACTTAAGATTCACGATTGCGGAATATAAAACGTTCTGGTCTACCTTTAAGATCTGACGATTAAAACATTCAAAAGTAAGAATAAATGTCAACCTGATATCGACTAGCGCAGGCGAAAAAATAAATTAAGTGTAATAGGGCAAAAGCTCCGAATCGCACAAGTTTTAATTTTTTTTTTTTATGTGTAAATAAAAGAGGAAGAT